ACTCCAACAGCCAGTGCCAAAATTCTGCTCTTGCTTACATACATTGGGGAAACACTGTTTAGTGGAGTTACTCAAGATTTATAATTGAATAATACAGGGTTTGGCCTTGAGCCTTAAAAGAGGAGCACTAATTTGTGCATGGTCAGTGGCATAGAGTAAAGCCAGTTTTCCATGAGTGTAGTATATTTAAAAGTTATCTTGTGTGTGTACACGATAACTTTTAAATATACTACACTAGTGTGTGTATGTATGTATGTATGTATGTATACACACACACACACACACCTGTGTGTGTGCACGCGTGTGTGTGTATACATACACACACACACGGACCATACATACACATATACATACATACACACACACACACACACACACACACACATATTGTACTTAATACATTTATTTTTACACAGTGTTTCATACAATAAAATTCACCTTGATGCAGAGGGGCAATGAAAAGTCTCTACGGGATATACACCTATGGGCTCTTTTGAGGTCTTAAGCATCATAATGGGCTAGCCCCCTTACCAAGGACTAATTTCACACACACTGAATAAATTGGTGGAGACAAAAATTGAGCAAGTGCAGCTTATAGGAGTAACTGTGCAGCAATGCAAGAGGGAAACGTGAACCTTGTCTAGAAACTACTTTGTGGACAGTGTACTAAACTGGATTTTGCCCGTATGACTCGACTACGCATTGCAATACAAGGGCTTGCTCTTGTATCCTACATGCAAGACTGTCACCTGAAGTCAAAGTGGGAGTTCTGACCACAAACCAACTAATTGCACAGTGAACCCTCCCTACACAAACCCTCTTTTATACTGCACCTAAGCAATATTATTCTATTTCTTTAAATACTGTTATATGCAGCTGACGACTCAAGAAAGTATGAGAAGCCCTTGACTGCAGTGCTGCTAGGACTCTGCTGTTATTACGTTCATACCATGGTGGCAACGTGTCCCAGCAGTGACATGCCCAAACAAACATCACTCATCAGCTCCCATTCACATGTTCCAAACCTGTGGCAGTGAGACTACCCCAGAAATGCACTCCCCACTGCCCCATGTTCAGTCTCAAGATCTTTGTCTCTGGCATCATTGAGGATGATCACTGGAGAGAACCCCTGCACAGCTTTACATGTGCATTTCTGGGTTTGGCATGTGTGAGCAGGACCCAGTGGGTGCTTGGGAGTGCCTGTTTTTGGACATAATTCCAGCAAGCCATGGACATATGCTACATATACCAGCTAAAACAGTCTTTCATTGCAGCCACAGCTAATCCTGCAGCTGCAATGACATGATAACATTTCAGAGGAATTAGTACATGATGGAAATAACAGCTGACTATGGCTCAATCCAGCCAAAGAAAAAATGCAAGTAGGAAGAAAAGTTATGCAGAGAGGAGCTGGAGGGGATGCTACCCTCACTCGCTACCAAGGCTACCCACTTTCCAATCACTGAAGGCAGCCTTGCAGTCCTGAGCAACGTGAAATGGCCAAGGTCTGTTGCTTGAGCAGCGCAGATTTGGATCAGCTATAGCAGGGGTGGTGTTTGGGCCAGCTTTGGTAGTGGTCAAGTCTCAGCTCTAACAATGACCCCTTCTGTGGCTCAACCATTTAATTCTTTCAGGCCTCCACTTTTCCATCCATAGAACTGCTTACTTACATCACAATATATACTGTTAGGTTTCATTTGTGTTTGTATAGTCATCTAATGATAAACAGTACCATATAAACAGTTTTTTTGCAGAAATGGAGCTATCAATTAAAATATAAAAAGAAATAGGAATAACCTTTATTTTGGTCTTATAGCAGTCTCAGACCAAGAATACATCATTATGGTTGCCCTTGATGATTCTTCACTATCCAGATCATATTTTAGTCAAGATTAATTTAAATAGCCAGACATCAAGCAGAGTCCAAATGCAATTGTACACCTAACTCGCACACATATTGTCACTCATTGCATGTATAAATCAGGTATTCATGTGCACAGATGACCAACTGTGCACACTGGTATGCTATTCAAGTAAAGCCACATGCTTTACTTTACAAAGCTTAAATGCTAAACCTGCCTGAAAATCTAGACCTGCATTACAACATTTCATTTAGCAAGAAAAGGTGAAAACTGACAATATTTTTTTACTTTTTGTAGTAAGAGTGTGTGTGTATTTTTCCTCATGGTGTAAACAATTTTAGTAAGTCCAGCATGTGAAATGTCTGTCAGACAGACTTTATTAAATTAAAAGATAAACGGGGAGATGGAACTACTGAGTCCATAATCATAAGACTGCTTTTGACTTCTCTCCAGAGCATGCAGTACCCAGGAAAAGAATGCAAACTGCAAATTAAACCTTCAGTTAGCTTCAGCAACCTGACAGACTGGCCCAAGAAATACTGCTATGTCTAGCAGATTGGAAGAGTGATGTGTTCATTGCACTGAGGTGTGAAGAACCCAGCCCATCTCCCAGGGCACAGCTGGTGAACTGTACACAAGGGAGGGGAAACAAGCAGGGTGGAGTGGGGGAAGGATTGGGGAAGGGACCCAAGGTAAATTAGGCAACATCTTGTGCCTCCTACTTCTTCTACCTAGACAGTTTTGGTTGCCACATCACCTGGAAGGGATTTTCTACTTGAGCAATGTTCTGTGAAGTGTTAGATAATGTCACTGGAATTAGGAGTGTGAATTAGGTTCTCAAAGGCTTCAAGTATCATCCATCACTTTGCCTTACACACAGTCTTATTCCAACACAAGATACTGAGAAAGTTCTTATTTGTATTGAAGCTGTCATGGATATGACTAGCATTAAATAAGCAGCCACATATACCATAAGTGAAAGGCAACACTCTTTGGAAAGAAGATTATAACCTGCACACCCATGAGACACAAAGTATATTTGTCAAGAAAGGGAGATTTTTGATGGTGAAAATTCAGCAAGCCTGGTCTCTCAGTCTTTTTAGTCAGCTTCTCTCTGCAGAAAATAAAAATGCTTTTTTGTAAATTTGCATTCCCTAAATCTCTCTCTTCTTTTCTATTCTTATGCCTTCAGATCCTCTCAAGTGCTTCCCCTTCCACTAGGGCTCTGTATGAAAGGCACGAGACCTGGGATACAAAGAGGAAGGTGCAGAGCCGCTCCCAGCAGCAGCAGACTCCTCAATCTCACACAATGCTTTTTTTAGCAAGAAAACACTGTGTGAACTTTAATTAATACCATTGGCTAATTACTTCTTACCTGAAGAGGTAAATGACTTCATACATACAAACAGTGAAACAATGGTAGCCTTACTCTCAAACTTTCAAGAGAGTAAGCGGACAGTCCCAGGCCAGCCTCCTGCTGGCAGGGAAGAAAGGGCAATATCCATTTGTTCTTGTTTCATTTCCAAGAGTCACTCGGGGTACATACAGATGTTTGAGGAGGTTAGAGGGAGTTCAGACTGCGTCAAAAGTGGCCACCCTATCTAATTTACTTAGCCCAGGTGTGGACCTTACACTTCGATTCCTAGTTAGGTCCATCTAAGTGTGATCTAAATCCTGTACAAAAGTTCAAGACAGTTAGATCGGTCTAAAATGGGCCAACCTGATCTAAGTTAAGTGTACTTCTGAGGTAGTCTATCTTAGATTGGGTCTGGTGAGACTGACTAACTGAACTTCTGTGCAGTTCCCAGAACAGATCTGGGACTGGGAAAGCGCAGCCACTGTCCCCAGCCCTTGGGGCTCCACTTTTCCTACCTCCCCCACAACAGGCACTAGGTTATTTTTAGTCCCCCAGCCCCTCCGCCACATGTATAATCCCTGCCCCCATGGACTGGCTGGCCAGGCTCCCTGAGCCCCCCAAACCTCCCATCCCTCAAGCCACTTCTGATGCCAGTTTTACCAGCATTCACTGGTGCTGGGACCCAAGGAAGTAAGTCAGAGGGGCGGAAGCAGTGGGCAAAATGGGGGGAAGGTTAGTTGCTGGAGGGGGTTGTTTGTGTGGGGGGGGGCAGGGGGCTAAAAATAGCCCCCTGGTCCCAAGGGGTGGGGGAAAGACCCCTTCCATCTCCCAAACAGCCCCTCTCCCATAGACTATGCTAGTCCCCTGATCCCATCAAACCCTTCCGAACCCCGCCAACTTCCTCTGTGGACCCTGCTTGCCCCCCAACCCTTCAATCCACCCTGCAGACCCACTAGCCCCCCTGATCTCCCCACAGATCTCACTTGCCCCCCTGATTCCCTTGCAGACCCTGCTTGCCTCCCTCCCAATCCATCTGATCCCTCCCCAAGAGCCTGCTTGCCCCTGATCTTCCCAAGTCCCACCACTAGCCCCCGCATCCTGATTTACCTTAGATTGGGTAGCCATTTTTAGCTCAAGCCAACCTCCCCCCAACCTCCCCAAATGTCTGTATGAGCCCTCAGATGCTCTGCTCATAGCTACAAGTATAAGAAACTGGACAAACAGAGGTCCCACTTCCTAAATACAATCTGGCCCCTTTATGCTACTTGGTTCCTTGCTGGGCGTGGGATTCTCAGTTGGCAAAGCCAATGCTGACAGCAAGAATTCCTTCCCCAACCCAGAATAGGGGCCACGTTGGGGAAAAGGGGGTTGTGGAGGGGCAGAGGTGCAAGCTCTTATGCCTTGATCGATACTTAACATTTTTGGAAGTATACAGCAACTTTTGGTTAAGAATTTCTCTTTTTCTCAAACACACAACATACCCACCTTACCAACATAGCTATGCCAGCAAAACTGTCCCCACAGAAGTACTGTCTTGCACTTTTCATTGCAAATGAGCCCTATGGAGCCTTTGGTTGGGGAACCCCCTAACTGGGTCTGTTGCACATGCAGACAGGCTTTAACAATTGAGAAGCCAACTCAGAGGTGGTTCTCTCCACCAAAGGATGCTTGGGCTCAGTAGATAATCCATCCTAGGTCAAGCAGGAAGCATGTTGAAGCTGCACTGTTCGGAAGAGGGACTTTTAGGGACTTTCTTTTTTGAATATGAAAGAATGACTTACTTTTTTCAGCTGTCCGTAGCATTTGTTCAGAAGAGCTTTGGTTAATTCTGTTGCACTGCTTCTCCCATGAGCATGTGAAGGTGAAGACTTAAGAGCAATCACTGTAAAGTAAAAAAAAAAAAAAAAAAATAATGGCCATATTTTCCTGTGTTATAAATAATGTTGTAACTAGCAACTAAAATGTGATTCTTTCTGTTCTGGCCCATTATTATAAATGTTCCTTCTTGCTCCCTAGTCTTGATAGTTCAACTCACTCTCTACATGGACTTTGAGAACCTTCAACACCAACTCCGGTTTGAAAGCAGAGCTAGGTTAAGCATAAGTTTTGTAAAATCTTACTAGACTGAAAGGCTCAGTCATTTCCTTCCATTGAAAAAACCGCAGAAGGGAACAAAAAATGATTTTTTGGTGCATGGACAATTCAAGTAAATGGTGATTTTCAGTGGGAGGTCAGAGAAAGTAACAGTAAGTAGCAGCTGCATGGAAAGGGCAGGGGCTGACCTTGGATCCCTCCAGATCTCAAGGTTCTGTGGAGAATCCTGACCCCACTTCATGCACTTCATGCCCTGCTGCATGTTGTCCTAGGAACTTAAAATGACAGCAAAACCAAAATAAGTGGCTGTGATATTACCGATCCTCTGGTCTACAGCTGAGGAGCACTTCCCATTCCATTCCACTAAAAGAAATTGGACCATGAATTCCAACACCACCGCAAGATCACAGGAGAGTTATAGTGAGCTGTCCACTTAAAAGTGAAAAGGTTTCAGAGGGGCATGCCACTTGGAACATTACCACAAAAGTGATACAAAGTCAGCTGAAACTAGTATTTCTTCCCAGTCTCTGGCTTAATAACTTGTAAAACCATTACAGTATTTCTTGCTTTCTTCCTCAAGCCCTGTAGCCTCCCCTGCATGATTCTCTGCCCATGTTTACTTAGTTAAAAGCCAAAGCATTCGATATATATATAATTTTCTCTCATTATTACACATGCAAAGAATAAACAGAATTTTATTTGATAGAAAGCTTTGGTTCTGATTTTCAAAAGGTCATGTGCATAACTGAACACAAAAATATGAATTGGCATAGTCGGCAACTAGTTGCAAAAGCTGATTTGGTAATCATGAATGCAATTTTTTTTTTTATATATAGATATAGACACCCCCCCCACCTACGTATGAAATGACCATGAACATGCAAAAAAACTAAAAAAAAAAAAACCCCAAACCCTGAACAGAATGAAACTAAAAAAATATGAAGTTTGAGTTGCATTTATTCTACTGTAGTCCATTAATTGTACACTTTGGCTGCTAAAGCATTGGCCAGGAAGAAACTATTGGTTCTAAAGCATGAATTATATTGCTGAATTTTCCTATTGCAGTTCTGCTCCCTTTGAAATTGAGTTTACAGTTAAAAAAGGAAAATGTATTTCTACTAAGCTCAAGTCAGCATTCACTGATCTCAACAGGCTTCTTTCCAGTGACAACAATGGACTGTAAATCAAACTCATGATTATGATGCTACAAGTCCTCAGGCTACCTGAAAATGTTTGTGATTGTGATAATGGTGGTTCAAGTAGTTTGCATATTTTTTAAAGAATGAACCCAGAATAGTCCTTTAATACTATTACTAATATTATAATTTTCATATTATAATATTATTATAGTGTTACTCAGAGGTCCCAATAAAAGCAATTCCTCATTATAATACCAATATACCAGGTTATGGTCTAGATCTTCAGTTGGTATAAACTAAGACTGACTGAAGTCTATGAATTTATCCTGATTTCACATCAGTTGGATGGCTTGTTCCTCTGACTCAAGTTTTACAGTTTGAGGCTTGGACCCTACAAAAATATTGCTGTGGTCACAACACTAATCTCCTTTAGATCCCTGGGACTAGTCATGGCAAGTAAAGTTATATGCAAACATGTTTGCAGGATCATGGCCTGAATTAAGAGACAATGAATCAAATACATGTAAAACAAATGGAGGGAGCAAAGGAGGAAGAACAAGAGTAACTGAGAGAGGAACACGTGATTCTATACACAGGCTATGAGCACAAATTGCATGTTTTGATGGATTATTTTAAGAGGATACAAATGACTAAACTATATTAAATCAATTATCATAGTCTGTTGAGTGCATCCTCTTGTTTTTATGTTTTATTATGGACATTAAAATTTACAAATTAAATTAAATTAACTAAAGGGAAAGACAGAGAGAGAGAGAGAGAACTATTAAAAACATTCTGACACAAAAAAAAAGTGTAAGGAACTCAACTTTTTGATTTTACAGCCTGAAGTTTCTCTTTAAGCTGTGTATTGTGACTGCCTTCTAGGATCAGTGTCCAAAAGTCTTCATAATCTTGCTGGCTCTTTAAGATTCCTTGTCTAATCAGTTCATTCTGCAATCCTACAATCTTTAAAAAGAGAGAGAGAGGAAAAAAGGAAGAGAGGAAGTTAAATGAATAAAGAGTATATTATTTCAAGTTCCTATTAGCTTTATATTACTTACTATTCTTATTATGTAATTAACAAATGCAGACTGAATCCTGCCATAGCTGACACAATGCATGTGAGCAGAGAAACTTTCTAATATGCCCACTGTTTCATAGTTGGTAGGGTCGGAAGGGACCTGAGCAGATCATCAAGTCCGACCCCCTGCCATGGCAGGAAAAAGTACTGGGGTCAAATGACCCCAGCAAGGTGTTCATCTAACCTCCTCTTAAAGACCCCCAGGGTAGGAGCCAGCACCACTTTGCTTGGAAGTTGGCTCCAGATCCTAGCCGCCCTGACTGTGAAGTAGCGCCTCCTGATGTCTAGTCTGAATCTACCCTCTGCCAGCTTGTGACCGTTATTTCTAGTCACTCCTGGTAGTGCTCGGGGGAACAGGGACTCCCCCAATGCCTGCTGGTCCCCCCCGACTAGTTTGTAAACAGCCACTAGATCCCCCCTCAGCCTTCTCTTGTGGAGGCTGAACAGGTTCAGGTCTCTTAGCCTCTCCTCGTAGGGCCTGCCCTGCTGACCCCTGATCATGCGGGTGGCCCTCCTCTGGACCCTCTCGATGCTGTCCACATCCCTCCTGAAGTGCAGCGCCCAGAACTGGACGCAGTACTCCAACTGCGGCCTGACCAGTATCACGTAGAGGGGGAGGATCACCTCCTTGGACCTGCTCGAGATGCATCTGTGGATACATGACAAGGTGTGGTTGGCCTTCCTGACCGCATCCCCACACTGCCAGCCCATGTTCATTTTGGCATCAAGAAGGATGCCACTGTACTGGAGAAGTTGTATGTGCCTGAAGATTTGTTCAGTGGCCCATATATAAGGACATCTGGAACATAACATATTGTACTTCTGATACAGACTGAAGCCTGTTCACTTTCCAATGTCTTCTGAGCACAACATCTAGCACCATACTGATAGGATGAATGCTTTACATATGCCTCTTTTCTTGCAGAGCACTCCTCCCTGGGGTTGTGATGAATGCTCCGCCACATTAGACAGTGTACCTTCCATCTGATTAGAACGTGCTACGGAGATACTCTGTCTGGCGACCTGTGCAGAGGAAGATGCTCTCTATACGCCCCCTCACCACCGGTGCCACAAGCAACATAGAGCACAAAGTAGGAAGTTCTGGAGCTTTGGATCTAAATATTATTCCTTTAGCACTGGACATTTCCTTTAAACCTGTACAATTTCAGTGCCCTATAAAGGTGATGTATGATGGCAAAAGGAGACATCATTAGTATGATATCAAGAGGAGACCTCACCTGTGAACTGTAGGAATACTTCCCCTCCAATTTTAAGAAGCAAGAAGGGCATGCATGTATGGAATGGAGCTAAAAGACGCATGCTGGGCAATTCTGGCATTTAGATTTACTTCTCTCTCAGAGAAGTAAAGAAAAGCTTCTCAGGAGTTCTGCAGTCACAGCAGGCTTTCAACACTAATTCAGCTCTTACTGAACCAGTTTGAGTAATCGTTATCTATTTAATAATAAAGGCAGCATAACCATTTGAGAAGCATGTGAAGGGAAGTTATGGCTTTGGATTCCCACCCCCCCACCAACCAAGCAGAAAACACAGGACTAAAATTTGTGTGCATCTAAAAAGAAAAGACCAACAAAAACTGCATGCTGGGGGGAATAAACCCACTTCTTCCTTCAGTCTTAACAGACAGTATTCCTTGCGTTTACACATGCAGTTCCATTATATCCTCCTCAGCCAATTAGACCAAGTTAAAAGAGCTACTGTCCATTCTAGTAGGCCATGGTAAAGTGCTGACCACAAACAAACCAAGGACCACAAGGATAAAATGTATTACATTATGTGAAACCTCTCTCCACCACAATAAATCTATTCTACATCAGCACTGACTGATTTACATCCCCAAATCCTAAGAAACATAAAATGTTCTTACTGCATAGATAGTTCTACACTTATTCTATTACCAAGAAATTGGTCCAATCCCCCGTGACTGTGCTTGCTTCCACATATAAAAATATCTCTCTATAGCTATATATAGACACACCAAAGTGAAAATCTGCATTTGAGAAAGAACAGTCAGATATGCAGATTAAGCTCAGCTCCTAAAGACAGACATAGATAAGATGCAGTTCTCAGGGGTCTGAGAGTTGCTGTTTAGGATCTATTTGTAATTCAAAAACAAAAAATCCCTGTAAAAGAAGCAGATAACTCACAAGCACAGAATTGGGATATTTTTACTAGTTCTATTCTTTCCATATTAGCAGTAACCGAAACTGGTTTCCCTCCAACAGCTGCTCAGTGGCTTTTTCAAAATGGGTAACTTCAGTCCTTTCCCTAATAGACAAACATTTATGTAACAATATGGAGTGGCTAACTGGCATGCTTTTTTGGCAGTTTCAGCAGGGAGGCCAAGAACTGAATAGGAAAAGGGTTTGAAATACTGATCCATAGAAGAGAGAAAAATCGCCCGAAGGCAGACTGGTAGGCAGGATGGGAAAGCTCAAAATGCTGCAGTGTATGGTATACTTGCTCTGCGAGTAAATTGGAGGAGTTTAATGCAAAAGTTGTTAATTCATTAAGATCAACCAAAGCTGAGAGAAGGAGAAGGCAATTTTAGGTGAATGCAGAGATTTAGATAGACAAAATAAAAACAACATCATGAGTTCATTTAATGTATGTTCAAGCAGAGCTCGATGGCAGACACAATAGCTCCAGATTGCTAAAAATAAGACACATTCATTATAACATTTTACAAATAATTCAGGACCCCTAGTACAAGGAAATGTAATTCTTGCAGCATACCAGATAATTACTGGACTGTGGAATAGACTCAAGGTACTTAGCATCATGAGATAATCTGCAGCAGGGCACTTGACGTCGAGGCGTACACTTAAAAGCAAGATGAAGTTTTGGTCAGTATTTTTTTCCAGTAGCTGGGAAACAAAGCACAAAACAAATGACAAGTAAACATTCAGCCACAGGAAGCCATTAACAACAGTGGGCACCAATTAGGACTCAGCAGGTATTTCTAACACCGCCTGGTGCTCTAGTCCTGCCTCAAATGCTTTGACATAACACTCTCAAACTTAGGCTTAGGAAACAACAGGCTGTTTCATTTACTCAGCAATTTGTAGCCTGCTGATAGGCCCATAAACCTGTTTGTAGTCTTTTTCTGTTTCCCTTCAAGTTTGTGCCATTAGAAACTGCAATTACTGCCTGACCAAAGGAGGACACTTTTCAAGAAAGAAAATAAAATTAAGATACTGTGAGCCTTCTCTCTCTTTCTTGTCTCTTATTTCCAAATTCTCTTCTGGCAATGAATATAAAACACAATGGGTGACTTCAGGAAAATCTGCTCACAAAGAAAATACGTGCTATTTCCTGCTTTTCTCAACATAGGCATTTCAGGTTTTTTTAAATGAAAAAACAAAACAAAAACAAACAGAATTTTCAAACACACTGCGTTGTCAAGGAAGGTGAGGAAACCGTATCCTTCTTAAAATTTAGCCATGAACTTAAATGGTGATCATTTGCATAACAAACACATTTCCCCCAACTGAGAAAAAAGAAAGAGAGTGAAATAGTTGTCATTTTAAAATGTTTGCATTAGTTAAAAGATATTTGCCAATTATACAGCAAGGAATTTAAAGGGATTGTGCAAGCATTTTAAAAACCATTCATGAATTATACTTCACCCAGCATCCTCCTGAAGGAGGCAAATACCACTTGCAAAGAATACAGGATGTAATAGATTTTTATTCTTGGGCCTCAAGTCTCCAGAATAAGGCAGGCTGAGAATTCCCAAAGCCATTGTGTCAACTTAAGTCAAGAGGAACAAAACCCCCTGGAGTTGCACCACTGAAACATCAGTGAAAGATCAGAATCCAGCTCATGAAACTAGGCTCCTCCTTCGGCACATCATGAGAAATCCTGACCCTGAGAAGTGGGTGGAAGGAGTCAGTGGTTCCACTATTTTACACAGATGTCAGGGAAAGTGCTTCAGCCATCGTTCTGCCAGATGTAAGTTGATCAAACCATTGTTACCAGTGAAAATCTAAGAATTCTTCAGATCTTAGTTAATCAACCTGTGATGTTTCTGATTAGCTACTTACTACAAGGAGCTCCTACAGCCTGTTTTTAAAATACCCAACAACAACAACAAAAACTCTGTAAGTCTGATCTATTACAGATGGTTCAGTACAGTCCCTCTAACTGTTGGTTGTAGTAGACTCAGAAGCTAAATTTCCCAGTGAAAACTAACCATTGGTCTCAAAGGGGTCAAGCCTACAGCAGGGCTTCTGGTAGAACTTCAAAATGTCTTGGGTCTTGTGGTGAACGCCCTGGTATGGATATATGGATGCATAGTAGATACATGCTGTTAGGGCTTCCCAGCACTTGGCAGCCAAGATCCCTGAAGGATCATCATCCTAGTACCTCAGAATCCTGAAGCGTCTCATTAGTTCGGCTAATCTGATGGAACGTGGCTAGCAGATATCAAAGGGATATGAGATGCCATCAGCATGCAGAGAAGTAGCCCATTGGTAATATGTTAGTGAAATTTTGACTCCACACTACTCCCTGTGCCACAGGAACACAAAAAATCAGCACTGCAATAGGAAGAACTTGGGGCTCTGGTTGTCAGAGTTTCACTGGTGTAATATGGAGGCTTCAGTTAGTTTGCCAACTTTTATGTCTAGACAAAGAGCTGGGAAAGTATTTGGAAGTACAAAATCTCATAGTGAACTGAAGTGCTGTTTCAACACAAAAAGACATACAAAAAACTAGAACTCTTGGTTCCAAAATGATACCTTTTGGATGAACCAAGCGTTCTAGTTTTTTGTATGTATTTTTGTCTCAGACCAACACGGCTACCAAGTACACCCCGTTTCAACACAAAGACCTTTACTGAAGAGACCTTTCCGTGTCAAGACTCCTGCCATACAGGAAGAGAGAAACTGTACTCGGAGTTTAAGATACCAAACCTCTCCAGGCATTGAAACTGAAGTTGCCTGAAAACACAGAGAAGATAGGGAAATCAAGGAGAGAAAGAGAGACACCAAGGAACTTGCTCATAGTCACAACAGAATCTATTGGTGGTAGGACCCAGTTCTGTCCTGAAGACCAATCATCTTTCTTTAACTTGGATCTTGAATGGTCTAGGCTAGAGTACGACATTATATGAGAGCAACTTCCTTAGAACTACTTATTTCTCTTGAGACCACTACTTCATTTCACCTAGCATTTTGCCATCATTGTATTGCCTCTGAGATTCTTTTTTTTTATTCTCAGTGCTGACAGCTTTTTGGCTTCATTGATTATATTGTTTAATTACAAAATACCAGTATTTGTGTCCCTAGTAAAATTAATTTCTTATTGCTCTGAAAGTAAAAGGAAAGAAATATTGAATTTAATAAAGTAACTTAAGTTATTTTTTTCCTTTCCATGCTAGTACAGGAAACACAAAATAATCCTACATGAAACATAGCACTGAACAGCAAAAATATTCAAACCAATAGGAAACCAAAAGTCTTCTCTCTCTCTTTAAATGTGGAAACAATTTTATACCTCTACTATTACCTATTCATGTAGCCTTTAAATTAATACTCATGTTGGATCCAATCCAGGTATTTACACTCAGGCAAAACTCCCATGGATGTCATTGGTGAATTGAGTCATTGGTGAATTGGCTACAACTTACACCCCTGTATTGGTGAATTGAAGGACTTCAGGTCTGTGCCCCTAAAAATGCACACACTGTATTATACTCATCTTTTACATTCAGCACCCTGAAAAAAGCAAACACAGCCCTCAATCCCCTGGAACCCACATATGTGTCATCAATTTGCTGAATATTTTACAAGAACCTTAAAAGACCCAGGATCCAGAACCAGCCTGGAAACAAAGTGGGATTTTTCCTAGCATCTTTTACTAGCTTCTGATTCAGGACTTCTACTTTTGATTTTAACTATTTATAAAAGGCACAAAGCACCAGGTTTGTCTCAGATGTGGGTCTAACAGATGTACATTGAATGAAACAAGAAAAAGGAAACTTGAAACCCTCTATTCAGTCACATTGCTGTGCTCAGTTAAAGCAGCCATGTCTTAATGAGTTAAAAAGATTAAGATTAGAAATCTGTATTGCTACAGCCTGGTCTATTTGTACATATGTCACTATCTTACTTTAACCTCACTTTTAACCCATCATAACAATACAGTTACTGATCCCAAAATGGTTAAGGAAATGAACAAAACACTTTATTGCCTTGACAGCTCAGTGCAGCCTAGCCCTGCCTTATCATAGAGCTTTATGCTGCCCTCCAGTAATGCAGCAGACCTAGGCTGTGAGAGAGAGAAGGTGGCATGTATGCTCACATGTGCAGTTCTGCAGCAGGATCCCCAGTGATCCTAGCCCAGGGGAGCCAGCAGGGCTGGAGATCAGCACCTAGCTTTTCCTGTGAACAACAGAGGCAGACAGTGGCCAGCACAGCTCCTTAAAAGTTATGGCAGTTGGGGTACACATCTGCTCACAGATTATCCCCAGGCCTCCCTGCAAAGGCTGTGGGACCTGTGTGAACCTGAGGGCAAGCCCCTTGCCTCCATACTCTCTTGAATTGTCCTCCCCAGCAAGGGAAGCATAAGCAGGAAACTCCCGGAAGCTCTCCGTCCTCCTCTTCTATATTTTTCCAAAGGATTGTAAAATATGGCTTACAATACGAGGAATAATTTTGTGGCTTAAAATAAAAACAACTGATATTGTTAATGGGACATTGAAGCAGCTAATGGAACTCTATGAACCAGTCGCAGAATGTAAGATTGAATACGGTTTCACTCTTGATGGAAGCACTTTTCAATACCATGGATGCAACAGATCATGTTCTTAATGTTGCCTAATCTACATAGCAGGTACTTCAAAAGCATTGGAAGTAGCAAGGGCTGGGTGCCCACATCTGCAGCTCATTCTATGGAACCACTGCCATCAGTGGTGTCAATAAGTACTTCTGAAGTCCTGAATCTGCAAAGCATTGACAAAATAATCTAACAACGATGTGCCAAAAAGTACTCATGAAGTCTTTAATCCTTTAATCCATGAGTGTATTGCTTAACTCTGCATAATAAAAATGCTTCCAAAATTTCTGGTGAAAAATACCATTAATTTATAAGTGAAGATATTCTACCCATTTAACAAACTGTCTTAACTCTTGAAAGGCACTAACTGAACTGTGATCATTTTCATGATAAAAAACTCAAAACATTTAATTCTATTTAAAAACTGAGAAAAATATGCATTTTGATTCTAAAATTCTATATTCTCAAGAATAGCAAATATTATTTCTGTTATCTAAACTGTAACATCCTTCCTCTGCTCCATTTCCCTAAAATCCACTCTAGCCTAAACCTTGTGTAAACTAAAGTTTAACTTCACAAACTTTTTTAATGAAGCATTATAATCTACACAATAGAGTTTGCAATAGAAGGTTTGAGATGATTTACACTGTAATGTCTATTCAGAGGTATTTGTTATAACTCTTAGTTCATCTATATGCAGAAGCACTATATTATTTTCCATGACTTGCTTTACTTGTTTTCATGTTAACCCAGTTAGCCTAAAAACATGTACATTTTTGCAATATAAAGATCTAGGCAGTTTAGGAAATAATCATTCAACTATTAAATTTAAAAGAATAGAAAAATTATCAGAGCCTCATTTTAGATATTGAGGCCTTAATGATACAGTCCTTGAAATTCACTTTAAAATCTTTCTTTGTCCAGGACTAGGTATGGGGATCTATATTTTTCAGTCTACATATGGAGAAACGCACATACTGAACTCTCATTAACATTCAGTGGAATACAGTAATATGACGCCTTAAACACTGACGTGCAAATAA